ATAAATAATTTGATGAACAGAATAAACTGGTGAATATAATAGAATCAGGGGCATAGAAAGGGAGTGGACTGACAATTCTCAGGGGGGTAGGGGTGTGGGAGTGAGGGAAGAGAATGGATAAAAATCATACATCTATGGATGAGGACAGTGGTGGGGTGTAAGGGCAGAGGGTTGGTTGGGAACCTGGTGGAGGGGAGCTATGGGGGAAAAAAAAGGAACAACTGTTATAATCTGAACAATAAAGTATTAATTTTTTTAAAAAAGAGTGTCCTCTGCTGTGGAGCCCAGGCCACTCTCTGGAGTCCAGGGGTTATGAACTATATTCCAAGGGTCATGGGCTCCTTGGTGAACCTGATGAGAACTATGGCGCCCTCTCCAGGAAAATGCCGGTACTCACAACATTCTCCATAGAATTTCAGGGTGTGCATAGACCCACTGAATTGAATTAAGAGTAGCCGGCAGTAAAGATGGGGTGCCACTGACTGGGTTTTAGTAAAATATTAAAACAGGAGTGAGCTTGTATTAGGTTACCAAGGAATGTTTATAACAGATAGCCTTAACTCGCTGGTCAGTAGAGGCAGACCCTGTAGAGAGGAAGTTATGAAGGCATCCTGGGCCCCTTTTCCTTGGGCTCTCACTGTCTGAGTGTGTAGGACCCAAGCAGAATCAGGAGGCCAACAGTGTTCTACAACAGTGTCCCTCAACACAACTCCCCCGCAGCTGTTTCTTGGCACTCACTCCATAAGCATGTGTGTCAGAAAAAGATTTACTGAGTGAATATTCATAGCTTTCCTCACTGCTCTTCCCTTGCAGAAGATATGTTGCATCAGAGCAGTGGACAAAGTTAACAAACTGGAGGGGACTTACATGGGAAAGGAGAGAGAATTACTGATGGCAGGACAAAAGATTGATGAACACAGAAAGGGGATGTGGAAGGGAATAGAGACCAGAGGCTGGTATGCTGACCTCAAGGGCAGCTCTGACTTGGGTAAGAGGAGAGATGGAGCAGTCATTTGAGGATGAAAGATGCAAATTCAGTTTTTCCAGGCAATGGAATGATTTTTCATCCTGCTCCAACATTTCTAGAGAAATTTTTAAAAATTTTTAAAAAGATTTTAAATTTTGAATTCTGAAACATATTTGGCCAAAAAGGTTTCAGATAAGGGACTGTGGATCTTGAAGGAATTGTGGATCTACACAATGTGGCAAAGAGCTTTGTCTCTCATCCTATCTAATAATAGACAAACATGGTAATTAACCCTCCCTCCATCATGCTTCCCATTGGCTAATCAGGGTGATATGCAAATTAACTGCCAACCAAGATGGCGGCGGGCAGCCAGGCAGCTGAAGTGAACAGGAGGTTTGCTTGCTCCAGTGATGGAGGAAGCCAAGGTTCCCCGCCTGCCGCCGGCTCTGAGTTCCTGAAGCAACAGCTCCAAAAGATACAATGTTTCAATTATAGAAGCTAAAAGATGGCGGTTAATTTGCATATATGAGCTGTGAGCAAAGACTGAGGACAACATGGAGGCCAAGCAGTACAGAAGGGAGCACAGTAGAGGCCTCAAGGACAGAAACAGAGCCAAGGCTGCTGAGGTGCGAGGCGGGAGGTGGGAGGGCAAGGCCAGCCGCAGCGGCTGCGAGCGGGAGGGGCAGCGGCTTGGAGGGGAAGGGGCAGCGGCTGGGAGGGGAAGGGGCAGCAGGTGGGAGAGGGAGAGGGAGGGGCTAGCCGAGCCGCAGGGGCTGGGAGTGGGAGGGGCAGCAGCTTGGAGGGGAAGGGGCAGCAGCCGGGAGAGGAAGGGGCAGCGGCTGGGAGTGGGAGGGGCAGCAGCTTGGAGGGGAAGGGGCAGCAGCTGGGAGCAGGAGGGCAAGCCCAGCCCCAGTGGATGAGAGCAGGAGGGCAAGCCCAACCACTTTGGCTGGAAGCATAAGGGGCAGCGGCCGGGGGGTGGAGGGGCAGTGGTTTGGAGCAGAAGGGGCAGCGGCTTGGAGGGGAAGGGGCAGTGGCTGGGAACGGAGAGGCAACGGCTGGGAGCGGGAGGGCAAGCCCAGCCTCAGGGGAAGGGAGCAGGAGGGCAAGCCCAGTCCCAGCCACTGGGATTGGAAGGGCAAGCCCAGCCCCAGGGGATGGGAGCGGGAGGGCAAGCCCAACCACTGTGGCTGGGAGCATGAGGGGCAGCAGCTTGGAGCGGAAGGGGCAGCGGCTGGGAGCGGGAGGGCAAGACCAGCTGCAGGGGCTTGAAGCTGGAGTGAAGCCTGCCTCAGCAAGTTTCGCTCTCTTCTCTGCTTTGCTCCAGCCACACAAAGCCCTATTCTTGCAGGAATATTCCTGCAACGGGCCTCTAGTAGTATATAAGTGCTGTGTTCTGGATCATGTGAAAATTTGCTTATGATTAAATAATTAAAAGCTACACCTTTTTTTTTAATCCTGCAACGCTCTAGTAGTATATAAGTGCTGTGTTCTGGATCATGTGAAAATTTGCTTATGATTAAATAATTAAAAGCTACACCTTTTTTTTTAAAATTGTCATTTCTGTTTTGGACTGTTTTTCTTTGAATGCCACTTCTTGCAAGAGCTGAAACTCAAGAAACAGAGTTTTTGTGGGTTCCTTATGGATGACTAAGGCCAAGATAGAACAATTGCTCCTCCACTGATGATCACGAGTGTGGCTGAAGACACACTGGAGCCTCATATACTAAAACCCTATCTTACAAAAGGCCAGTTCTGGTTTGGCTTTTGTGACTCACATCCCCTACATGTGCCCATTTTTCTGCACCCAGCCACTCTGCCACCAGAGGGAAGGAGTTAATAGTGGTTATATCTCTGCTCCATTCTTATAAGTTCTACTATACCAACTCTGCTAAATACTTAACTGTTGTGGGCCTGGGTTTCCTCATTTATAAAATGAGAATATTAACACTTGCCTCATAGAATTGTTGTGAGGGTGAAATAAATCAACATATGTAAAATGATTAGCACTGTGGCTAGCAATAATTGCTCAATAAATGTCAGCTATGATTACTTTTATTCTGATGATCATCAATTAATTATTATGCTTTAACTTCAAGCCTACCATCTAGTTTCAGTCTACAATAACCCTCTGACGTGAGAATTACTCTGATTCCCTTTTAAGGAAAAGGGAAACCAAAAAGGTGAAGAGCTTTTGAAGGATTGCAGGCCAGATCTGACTTCAAAGCCTGTGCTTTTCTGGCTCTAGGACACCCCCACAATTGAAGCATGTGGCATGTTTTCTAGTCCTTTCCCAGGGCCTTTGCACACACCTAATTCAGTGCTGCTGTCCAGGGAGAGGCCAGGGGATGATTGGCAGGAGCCTGGCCCTACCCTCAGGACTCTGCCACCACAGACCCCCCAACCCCCAAGTCTGCAAATGGCATTGCATAGCCACCCACTGCCCTCTGGGAAAGGGCTTTGTCCAGGTTATGCTCCTGGCCACACAGAAAATGGTTTGTTTCCCCCCAGGGCATAGCCACACTGTATATCAGCTACCTGGAGTAATGTGGCAGGTCTGGGATGTCACAGAGAATTCCACATTCCGTCTCTTCCCTATGGTCGCCATGCATTCTCCTGTGGCCTAGAAAGAAAGAAAGAAAGAAAGAAAGAAAGAAAGAAAGAAAGAAAGAAAGAAAGAAA